GGGAGGGACTGGGATGGACTGGGAAGGGATTTCGGGGTTTTGGGGTGGATTTAGGGGTTTTTTTCTGCGTTTAGGGTTGTTTTGGGGGGGCTCAGGGCGGGTTCAGGGTGGGTTTGGGGTTTCTGGGGTGTTTTGAGGGTGGGTTCAGGGTGGTTTTTTGGGGTTCAGGGTTTTTGGGGTGAGTTTAGGATGTTTTTAGGGCGGGTTCAGGGTTTTTGGGGTGGATTCAGGGTTTTTAGGGTGGGTTTGGGGTTTCTGGGGTGTTTTTAGGGTGGGTTCAGGGTGGGTTTGGGGTTTAGGGTGGGTTTAGGGTTGTTTTTTTCTGGGTTTAGGGTTTTTGGGGCAGGTTCAGGGTTTTTAGAGCGGGTTCAGGGTGGTTTTTTGGGGTTTAGGGTGTTTTTGGGGTGGGTTTAGGGCGGGTTCAGGGTTTTTGGGGTGGGTTTAGGGTTGTTTTGGGTTGGGTTCGGGGTTTTAGGGTGGGTTCACGGTGGGTTTTTGGGGTTTAGGGTGTTTTTGGGGCGGGTTTATGGCGGGTTCAGGGTTTTTAGGGTGGTTTTGTGGGGTTTAGGGTGTTTTTGGGGTGGGTTCATGGTTTTTGGGGCGGGTTCAGGGTGGTGTTTGGGGTTTGGGGCAGGTTTAGGGTGGTGTTTTGGGGTTTGGGGTGTTTTTAGGGCGGGTTCAGGGCAGTTTTTTGGGGTTTGGGGCGGTTCAGGGTGGTGTTTGGGGTTTAGGGTGATTCTCCAGGTGTATCCCTGTTTGTTCCCCAGGTGTATCCCTGTGTGTCCCAGGTGTGTCCGTGTCCCCAGGTGTGTCTCTGATGGGTGTCCCCCCCGTGTGTCCCCAGGTGTATCCCCAGGTGTGTCCCTGTCCCAGGTGTGTCCCTGACGGGTGTCCCCCCAGTGTCCCCAGGCGTGTCCCTGTCCCAGGTGTATCTCTCTGTGTCTCCAGGCGTGTCCCTGTCCCTATTCCAGGTGTATCCCTGTGTGTCCCCAGGTGTGTCAGTGTCCCCAGGTGTGTCCCTGTCCCAGGTGTATCTCTCTGTGTCCTCAGGCGTGTCCCTGTCCCTATTCCAGGTGTATCCCTGTGTGTCCCAGGTGTGTCAGTGTCCCCAGGTGTGTCTCCCTGTGTCCCCAGGTGTGTCCCTGTCCCAGGTGTATCTCCCCGTGTCCCCAGGTGTGTCAGTGTCCCCAGGTGTGTCCCTGACGGGTGTCCCCCCCGTGTCCCCAGGTGTGTCCGTGTTCTCTCTGGCTGCCCTGCTGCTGCCCGAGTCCTTCCCCCATTACCTGGCGCAGGTGCGGGCGCTGAGCCTGGGCCCCGCCCTCGTCTGCTCGGCCAAGTTCCTGCTGGCCCTGCCCTTGTGCTACCACACCTGGAACGGCGTGCGCCACCTGGTGAGGCCCCCGGCCACCGCGGGGACACCGGGGACACGGGGTGGCACGGGGGTGGCACCGGGGGTGGCACCGGGGCGTCCCCCTGCCCGGATCACTGGGATTGAGGGGGTTTTAAGGATTGGCACAAAAGGTTGGGAATGGCTGGAGGGGCATCCCAGTGTGGAACTGGGAGTTCTGCACCTGGAATGTCCCCAGGAGCCTTTTTGGGGACAGCAGGTGACACTGGGGTGGCACTGGGGCATCCCCCCTGCCGGGTCCCTGGGATTGAGGGTTTTTTTTGGGAACGGCACAAAAGGTTGGGAATGGCTGGAGGGGCATCCCAGTGTGGAACTGGGAGTTCTGCACCTGGAATGTCCCCAGGAGCCTTTTTGGGGACAGCAGGTGACACTGGGGTGGCACTGGGGCATCCCCCCTGCCGGGTCCCTGGGATTGAGGGTTTTTTTTGGGAACGGCACAAAAGGTTGGGAATGGCTGGAGGGGTTTTATGGGAGCATCCCAGTGTGGAACTGGGAATTGTGCACCTGGAATGTCCCCAGGAGCCTTTTTGGGGACAGCAGGTGACACTGGGGTGGCACTGGGGTGTCCCCCCAGCCCGGGTCACTGGGATTGAGGGTTTTTTTTGGGAACGGCACAAAAGGTTGGGGGGGTTTGGGAGCCCATTCCAGAGCATCCCAGTGCTCCCAGTGTGGAACTGGGACTGGGGCACTGGGGTGGCCCTGGGGGTGCTCCAGGGCTGGGTGGGGTTTTGGGAATTCTGGATCCGTGGAATTCCCAGGTGTGACCCCAGACCAGCCCCTGGGGTTTGGGGGGCTCTGGGTTTTCCACATTATGGGGATAATGGGAAAAATGGGAATAATGGGAATGGGGAGGGTGGGAATAATGGGAATGGGAAAAGTGTGAATGGGAATGGGGAGAGGGGATGGAATGAGGGGAGAAGGATGGGAAAGGGGGGAGGGGGAAGGGAGCAGGAACTGGGATGAAAGGGAGTGGGATAACTGGGATAAAAGTGGGAAAGGAAAGGGGAGAGGGGGTGGGAAAAAGGGCAGGAAAAAGGGATGGAAAGGGGGAGAGGAAGTGGGGAAAAGGATGGGAAAGGAGAAAGGGGACAGGGAAAGGGGAGAAGAGATGGGGAAGGGGAGAGGAAGTGAGAAAAAGGGGGAGGGAAAGGGGTAAAAGGGGGAGAGGGGATGGAAAAAGGGGGAGAGGAAATGGGAAAAAAGGGGGAGAGGGGATGGGAAGGCTGTGGGACCGGGGAGCAGGAGGGCAGTGGGATCAGGGCACACTGCGGGAGGATCCCCCCGGTTGTGGGCTCGGGTCCCCCCCCGGCAGGGACCCCCAGCAGGGCTCGGGGACAGTGACAGTGACAGCGCTGTCCCCCGTGTCTCCGCAGGCCTGGGACCTGGGCAAGGGGCTGAGGCTGCCGCAGGTGACGCAGTCGGGGCTGCTGGTGCTGGCCCTGACGCTGCTGTCCTCGGCCGGCCTGGCCGCGCTGTGACAGCGGCAGCCCCGCGATTCCCGGCATTCCCGGAATTCCTCCCGCCCGGGAAGGTGACACTGCCTCCCCCTGCCCAAAAACCCGGGATGAGCAGGGCTGCCCCTGCTCCCTGCCAGCAGCGCTGCGTGTCCCCCGTGGTGTCCCCCGTGGTGTCCCCCACGTGGCCCCACGTGTCCCCGAGGCCGGGACAATGCGGGATCTGTGTCCCCACGAGTGGGCTTGGCAATGGGGCCGGGAATGGGGTGGGATCGCAGCGGGACAAGGAGCTCCATTGAGGCAGCGCCCCAGGGGCGTGGGTGACAGGTGACACCGCGCTGCCACCCCGCTGCCACCGCTGGGGTGCTCGGCCCCGTGGGAATTCCATGATTGAGCCCATTTTGGGGGGAAAATCCCAGTTTTGGATCTTCCCTTGCCAGTGGGGAGGCAGCACCCCATAGGGGTGGGTGACAGGTGACATGTCACTGCCACCCCACTGCCACCCTGCTGCCACCCCTGGGGCCCTCAACCCGGTGGGAATTCCATGATTCAGCCCATTTTGGGGGGAAAATCCCGATTTTGGAGCCTCCCTTTGCCAGTGGGGAGGCAGCGCCCCACGGGGGTGGGTGACAGGTGACATCTCACTGCCACCCCGCTGCCACCCCTGGGGCCCTCAACCCAGTGGGAATTCCAAGATTGAGCCCATTTTGGGGGGAAAATCCCGATTTAGGAGCCTCCCTTTGCCAGTGGGGAGGCAGCGCCCCACGGGGGTGGGTGCCAGGTGACATCTCACTGCCACCCCGCTGCCACCCCTGGGGCCCTCAACCCAGTGGGAATTCCAAGATTGAGCCCATTTTGGGGGGAAAATCCCAGTTTTGGAGCTTTCCTTACCAGTGGGGAGGCAGCGCCCCACAGGGGTGGGTGACAGGTGACATGTCACTGCCACCCCACTGCCACCCCACTGCCACCCTGCTGCCACCCCTGGGGCCCTCAACCCAGTGGGAATTCCATGGTTCAGCACATTTTGGGGGGAAAATCCCGATTTTGGAGCCTCCTTCCAGTGGGGAGGCAGCACCTGACGGGGGTGGGTGACAGGTGACATCTCACTGCCACCCCGCTGCCACCCCTGGGGTGCTCGGCCCCGTGGGAATTCCATGATTGAGCCCATTTTGGGGGGAAAATCCCGATTTTGGAGCCTCCCTTGCAGGTTCCCTGGTGGGGAGGGGTTTGTCACCGCAGGCGTTGTCACCTGTCCCCTGGGCAATAAAGCAGCTCTGACCCTCCAGCCCCGTGTCCCTCCCTGTCCCTCACCCGTGGGATTCTCCTCTGGGATTTGGGGAATTGCTGCTCCCAGTGGAAAAAACGTGGAAAAAACCCCAAAATCTGCAGTTCCTGGAGGAGCAGGGACGAGCCTGGGGGATTTGGGGTGGAATTTGGGATTTTGGAGCCTTTGCCACCCCGAGTTTCTGTCCCAGCTCCATGTGGGGAGGGATATGCTGGGAAAATCCGGGATTTTTGGGGGAAAATCCTCTCCAGGTTGGGATTTTGGGGTGGCAGGAGGGATGTGGGGGGGTTTGATCCCATCCCAATCCCATCCCCAATTAATTTCCTAATTAAGAATCCTCCCCTGGGATCGGGGAGGAGGAAGAGGAGGGAACCAAACCCTGAACCCCGAATGGATTTGGGCTCATTCCAAGGATTTCCTGCATTTCCCAGCCTTTATTTCCCCTTTTTGGGGGGCCCAGACCCTCCTGTGCCCCCCTGAGGGGGGGAAGTGTGGGATTGGGGGGGGATTGTCCCCAGGGGAGGGGACAATGACAGCAGAGCCACCTGCAGGGGCTCAGGAGCCGGGGGGATTTTGGGGACAGGGTCCCCAGCCATAGGGACTTAGGGGACAGGGTTCCTCCGCGGGGGCATTTTGGGGACAGGGTCCCCCCTCAGGGATGTCCCCAGGTTTTGGGGTCTCAGGGTGGGGGGAGCCCCCGCTGGGACCCCCCTGGTCCTTTCCAGAAGGTTCCGTGTCCCAAGGTTTCTGCAGCTGTGGGATGGAGGGAGGGGGGTCAGGGGGGTCCCCAGGGAGGGGACATGGGGTGGGGACCCCCCAAAAGGGCCTGGGAGCTCTCCTGGTGGGAACGCCCCCAAAACTGTCCCCAAAACTGTCCCTTGGTCCCCACATCCCCCTGCCCCCATGCCCATGTCCCTTTGTCCCCACAGCCCCCGTATCTGTGTCCCCTTTATCCCCACACCCCCGTGTCCCTGTGTCCCCCCATGTCCCCTGTCCCTGTCCCCTCTCCTGTCTGCTCTGTGCCACCCCTGCCCCGCCCCTCCCTGAGCCCTGGGGGTGTCCCCGGTGTACCCAGCTGTGTCCCTGTGTGTCCCCAGGTGTGGGTGCCCGGGGGTCCCCGAGGTGCCCGGGGCTCACCTGGGAGCGCCGCGCGTGCGGCAGGAGGTGCCCGCGGTCTCACTTTTCCCCTTTTTCCCCCATTTTCCCCCTCCCCCACCTGCCCCGCCATGTTTGCGTTGCCCGGCAACCGCCGCGAGCGCCCCCTGGCGGCCGTTACGGGCTCTCCACGGGGGCGGAGCCAACCACGTCATTACCATTAACCACGCCCCCTTCACGACCACGCCCCTGCTGGCTCCGCCCCCCGGCGGGTCTCAGTGTCGCGACAGGGACAGGAGGGGCCACAAAGGGACAGGAGGGGTCTGTCCCCATCCCTTTCGCCATTTCTGTCCCCTCTGTCCCCTCCCCTGTCCCTCTGTCCCCTCTGTCCCCTCCCCTGTCCCTCTGTCCCTCTGTCCCCTGTCACGCCACTCCCATCTCAATTCTCTCAATTTTATTCCGTTTCCTTTTCCATTTTTTTCATTTTTTCCACTTTTTTTTTTTTTTTCCCTGGTTCTGGGTTCGTTTTTCCTCAAACCCCAAAAACCCCAAAAAAACCCCCAAAGGTGGGGGCGGAGCTTTTGGGTGACAGAGGTGACAATGACACCGCGGGGGGGCTGCGAGGGGGCACTGGGGGAGCTGGGAATGAACTGGGAATGGGGGATGGGAACTGGGATTGAACTGGGAATGAACTGGGAATGGGGGATGGGAACTGGGACTTTTTTTTGGGGGGGGAAGCGTAAAAAAAGGGGCCAAACCCCCAAATAAAGCAACAAAACCAGGGGAGAGCGGAGCGGGGCGGGGATTTTGGGGCGATTTGGGGTTTTTCGGGGTTTTTTGGGGCGGTCAGAGCCGCTCCTGCCGTCGCCGTGTCGGGCTGGCTCTCATTGTCACTGTCACTGTCACTGTCACCGCGGTGGCCCCGCGAGGCAGCTCCGGGAAAGGACATTTTGGGGACTTTCAAGGATTTTGTGGGATTTTGGGGGAATTCTGTGGGATTTTGGTAGGATTTTGAACGGTTTTAGGGATTTTTGGGCTTCCGGAGCCGCTCCTGCCGTCACTTTGTGGGGTCGGCTCTTTCTGTCCCTTGTCCCCGTCCCTGCGGTGGCCCCGCGAGGGAGCTCCAGGACAGGAATTTTGGGGGATTTTGAACAATTTTTATGGAATTTTGGGAGAAATTTTGTAGGATTCTGTGGGATTTTGTAAGATTTTGAAGCTTTTTTTGGCTTCTGGAGCCGCTCCTGCCATCACTCTGTCAGACCAGCTCTCACTGTCGCTGTCCCTGTCCCCATCCCCGTGGTGGCCCCGTGAGGGAGCTCCAGGACAGGAATTTTTGGGCATTTTGAACAATTTTTATGGAATTTTGGGGGGAAATTCTGTTTGATTTTGAAGTTTTTTGCTTTTTTTTGGGCTTCTGGAGCCGCTCCTGCCGTCACTTTGTGGGGCCGGCTCTCACTGTCCCCTGTCCCCATCCCCGTGCTGTCCCCGCGAGGGAGCTCCAGGACAGGAATTTTGGGGGATTTTGAAAATTTTTATGGAATTTTGGGGGGGAATTCTGTAGGATTTTGTAAGATTTTGAAACTTTTTTGGGTTTTTTTGGGCTTCTGGAGCCGCTCCTGCCGTCACTTCTGCGGGCCGGCTCTCTCTGTCCCTGTCCCTGTCCCTGCGAAGGAGCTCCAGGACAGGAATTTTGGGGGATTTTGAACAATTTTATGGAATTTTGGGGGTAATTCTGTGTGATTTTGTAGCTTTTTTGAGTTTTTTGGGCTTCCGGAGCCGCTCCTGCCGTCACTTTGTGGGGCCGGCTCTTTCTGTCGCTGTCGCTGTCCCTGTCCCCATCCCCGTGCTGTCCCCGCGAGGGAGCTCCAGGACAGGAATTTTGGGGGATTTTGAAAATTTTTATGGAATTTTGGGGGGGAGATTCTGTAGAATTTTGTAAGATTTTGAAACTTTTTCTGGGGTTTTTTGGCTTCCGGAGCCGCTCCTGCCGTCGCTTTGTCAGACCGTCTCTCACTGTCCCTTGTCCCTGTCCCCGCGGTGTCCCCGCGAGGCACCTCCAGGACAGGAATTTTGGGGGATTTTGAACAATTTTATGGAATTTGGGGGGTAATTCTGTGTGATTTTGTAGCTCTTTTGAGTTTTTTGGGCTTCCGGAGCCGCTCCTGCCGTCACTCTGTCAGACCGGCTCTTTCTGTCACTGTCCCTGTCCCTGTCCCCATCCCCGCGGTGGCCCCGCGAGGGAGCTCCAGGACAGGAATTTTGGGGGATTTTGAAAATTTTTATGGAATTTTGGGGGGGAGATTCTGTAGAATTTTGTAAGATTTTGAAACTTTTTCTGGGGTTTTTTGGCTTCCGGAGCCGCTCCTGCCGTCGCTTTGTCAGACCGTCTCTCACTGTCCCTTGTCCCTGTCCCCGCGGTGTCCCCGCGAGGCACCTCCAGGACAGGAATTTTGGGGGATTTTGAACAATTTTATGGAATTTTGGGGGTAATTCTGTGTGATTTTGTAGCTTTTTTGAGTTTTTTGGGCTTCCGGAGCCGCTCCTGCCGTCACTTTGTGGGGCCGGCTCTTTCTGTCCCTTTTCCCCGTCCCTGCGGTGGCCCCGCGAGGGAGCTCCAGGACAGGAATTTTGGGGGATTTTGAACAATTTTTATGGAATTTTGGGAGAAATTTTGTAGGATTCTGTGGGATTTTGTAAGATTTTGAAGCTTTTTTTGGCTTCTGGAGCCGCTCCTGCCATCACTCTGTCAGACCAGCTCTCACTGTCGCTGTCCCTGTCCCCATCCCCGTGGTGGCCCCGTGAGGGAGCTCCAGGACAGGAATTTTTGGGCATTTTGAACAATTTTTATGGAATTTTGGGGGGAAATTCTGTTTGATTTTGAAGTTTTTTGCTTTTTTTTGGGCTTCTGGAGCCGCTCCTGCCGTCACTTTGTGGGGCCGGCTCTCTCTGTCCCTGTCCCTGTCCCTGCGA